CCCATACAGCATAGCTGGTCTCACTACTGTCTTGTACACCTTTCCTTTGATTCTTGCTGCCACTCTTCTGTCACACAACACTCCTGACACCTTTCTCCCTCATCACACTGGACTGTTGACCCCAAATACTTAAACTCCTGCACCTTCTTGACCTCAGCCCCCTGTAACCTCACTGTTCCACTTCCCTCCCTCTCGTTCATACACATGTATTCTGTCTTACCATGACTGACTTTCATTCCTCTTCTTTCCAGAGCAGACCTCCACCTTTCCAGGTGTTCCTCCACCTGCTCTCTGCTCTCACTACAGATCACAATGTCATCCGCAAACATTATCGTCCACGGAGATTCCTGTCTGACCTCATCTGTCAACCTGTCCATCACCATAGCAAACAAGAAGGGACTCAAAGCCAATCCTTGATGTAGCCCCACCTCCACCTTGAACTCTTCTGTCTGACTTACAGCACATCTCACTACTAAGTCAATTAATCTGTGATTTCCAATAAAAGCTAATTGAATGAATAAGGCCATACAAGAACCCATGAACACACAGCTTTCTCAGTTTTGGCCTAATGCAACATGACTCCACATTGCACCATACTGTGAGACTTCATAAAGATGGGAGAGGGCAGAAGAGCATCAGTTGGCCACTGAACACAATAAGCCAAAACCCAGTCACAACAGTGGTCAGGAACTATAGGAGCAGCCATACCAGCAATAACAGAAGGTGCATGGCTGTCATGAAAACATGAAGCCTTGTCCCATTCACTAAGCACACAACCTTGCATCAAAAACCAGATGTGTAGCTGCTTCTGACTTGGCATGACACTTATCTATGGAAACTGGTGTTTCACTGACTGATCAGACAGTGTGAAGGATGCTGCATGAAGTCAGCCTCTGGAGATGGTGTCTGAGAAGAAAACCATTTCTCACAATGTGACACAAAACAGCAAGATTAAACTTTAGACAATATGAATACTTAAACATTCTGTGATCAGATGAAACCAAAATAATCTGCTTTAGGTTCCAGCATGTTTGATGTTGACCTGGCCAGAGCTACCACAATGACTTTTCTGTGCTGACTGCGAAACATGGAAGTGGATGTGTGCTGACATGGGGCTACATGAGTGCCGGGAGTGTAGGGGATGACATTTATACTGTGAATGCAAGTTTGTGTTCCCAAATACTGGATAAATAGATTGCATAGTCTCAAGAAGCTTCGCAGCAGAGGAATTTTCCAGTATGACAGTGATCCCAAACTCACTGCAAAAATCACACAACAGTTTTTAAAGAAGTGAAAACTATGACCTGGTTAAATATGTTTCCTGACTTGACTCCAATAGAAAATCATTGGAGTATTTTCAAGTTGAAGGCACAGCAACAAAACCCGTCTACAGATTGGTACAAAACCAATATCATCCATGTCCGAACAATCGAATCTGTCATCAGACAGACAAAGCTGGACGTATTAAAATATTCTGAAAATAAGAGAATACAATCTGACTAGCAAAGTGTGTCCTAATTTTTGTTGCAATGGATTCATACATTTATAGTCGGACATTTGTTTATGCATTGAACGCCTTGAGGGAATTTCTTCAAATTTGGTACAAGTGTCCACTTGGACTTAGAGATGAACTGATTAGATTTTGGTGGTCAAAGGTCAAGGCCAGTGACCTCACTTCTGTCCTATATCCGTGAATTTGACTGGTTGGCGGAAGCATAAAATTGCAAAGCGGTAATTCTAGTTTTCAGATGAATTGACTTTGTTCTTTTTGGACTGCAGCTAAAAACAAATAAAAATATATTAAATTGACAGGATTCTTTAATGTTTTAATACTTTAGTGATAGTGACTCAGGATGTGCTTGTACACTCCATGAGATTGACAAACTGGGGCTAGTCCCACTTCCACTGGTGAAACCAATAAGTACACAGGTGAACAGGACTGTATTATTTCCGAGGATCTGCTGTGGGGCTGTTGTTGTTGCTGAGCTAGAATCTGATTTCTAAATATTTACCTAGGTAAATATTTGGCAAATCAACTACAATGTAAAAAAGAAAAGGCAATCATTACATCCATACTTGACTCTACAGGTGAAACTATTCATAATACACAGGATATTAACAATGTATTTCAAGCATTTTATAGCAAACTACACTCCTTTGATCATGAACCAAATCCATCTGAAATAGATATTTTCCTAAACAATATAAAATTAACAACACTATCCAGAGAACAAACCGGTACCTTAGATGCCCCTATCACTCTGGATGAACTTCTTAAACATTGAAATCCATGCCAAATAATAAATCACCTGGACCTGATGGATTCCCCACTGAATTTTATAAACATTTCTAGGAGATATTATCAGTACTATTTCTCAGAGTTAACACTAAAATTAAAAACCACAGTACCGACACATATAAATACAGTTGCCATGACACTCCTGCTGAGACCCAATAAAGACCCAACCCACCCTTCCAGTTACCGTCCTCTGTCAGATTTACTGATTTACACTAGTCACTAGAATAGAGACAGTTACTCCAATAATTGTCAGGTCCACGACCTGCCTCTCTTCCACCTTTCTCTCCTCTGTTCTCTCGACCTACGAGATCTGCACCTCAGCTGTGTTGCATTCGGTAATTAGTGACTTGTTTGTCGGTGCACACAGCTGGGGTGCATCCCGATGATTACCTTCCTCCTTATTTATACCTCTGGCAGACGCTCTGTCGTCACTGGAACATTGCTTTACCTAACTTGCATACCCTGTAACAGACCTATTGTATTGTCGTGGTATGTATTATACGTCATTTGTTTTCCATGCTGACAGTTCCTGTGCTGTGGATCGCATTTTGTACGTTGGTTATTTGTTTTGTGTTATACATCTCTGGACATTCCACGCTGACAGTTCCTGTGCTGTGGATGTCCTTTTTCGTTCACCAATCCTCCTGGTTAGTCGTCTATTCACTTGTCCGTTCTGATTCTCCCACTCTCCTGGTTTCTGCCGTTAGCTTGTCTACTCCCCTAGTCATCTTGGTCTCCTCCACCATCTCTGCCCTACTTTGCTGGTTTCTGTACATGGACTCTGATACGTTTTGTTGTTACTGTGCATTTCCCACCATTAAACCTCCTTGTATTTTAACTAGCACCTGGGTCGGCAATCTTGAGTCCAACCTCAGTTCTCCCTCACCCTCCTGGTGAGGGGAACTAATCATAACAATAATAATCCACCCAGACCAAACAGGCTTCATTAAAAGTATACACACTTTGGATAACACCCGTAGACTATTTAACTTAATCAGTCTTGCACAACAAAAACAAACCAACACCATAATCGTATCATTAGACATAGAAAAAGCATTCGACAAAGTTAACTAGTTATTTCTCTTCAGCACACTATGAAGATTTGGTTTTGGAGAGTCTTTCATCCACTGGATTAAAACACTATATACATCACCTAGAGCCTCACATCACCTCACAAAGTTTCACACTTCACAAGGGAACCAAACAAGGATGCCCACTCTCACCATCTCTATTTGCCATTTTCATTGAACCTCTAGCAGCAGCAATATGACTGAATAATAGTATCACAGGAATGAAAGATACTAACTCACAACATAAAATTAGCCTCTGTGTATGATTTATTATTATACTTACAGGACCACTACACTTAATTACGAGAAACGTTCTCCATTATTAACACATTCTCCAGGATTTCCAACTACACAATAAACTGGAATAAATCCACCATATTTCCACTCTCTGAAGATGCCTGGGATTCTGCAGCTCATGACTGCCCCCTTCCACTTCACATTGGCAACATTAAATATTTAGGTATAGTATTTCCCCCAGAAGACAATATCTAAATGTTGTAAACTAATGTCAAATACAGATAGAACATGACAAAATGGGAAAAGGATTTTGTGCTCCTCCCAGCTTTAAGGTCAAAGTGTTTGTCATATGCACAGTTAGGAAACGTGTTTCCCTGTACAATGAAATTCTTACTTTGCCATCCACATGAATACCACATAATACAAGTGAAATATAAGGTAGATAAGCAATAACACAAATCTAAATAGGCAGTAAAATCACAAATCTAAGGCAGCAAGTGAAGGAAGCAAATAAAAACACAACAAGAACACAAAATAATTCAGAGAGAATATATGCTTGAATATAACAATGTATGCTGTATGGGAGCAGCATGTGCAGCAGTCAACAGTCAATGTGCAAACTGAGAATGTAAACAGTACATCACGTATTTCCTGGTAATAAACTCCTCAGCTGTTTAGGAGTCTGATGGCAGAGGGAAAGAAAGAGTTTTACAGTCTAGTGGTCCTGCATTTCACACTTCTGAACCTCCAGCCAGAGGGTAGGGAGGCGAACAGTCCGTGCTGGGTGTGGGTGGGGTCCTTGAGGATGGAGGCAGCCTTTCTACACACCCTGCGGTGGTAAATGCTCTGCAGAGAGGGCAATGGAGTCCTGGTGATCTTCTCCACAGTCTTTACCACTCTCTGCAGGCGCTTGCGGTCCATAGAAGTAGTGCTGCCATATAATACTAACAACTACACTTGCTACCAGTTAAAATAGAAAACAAAAAAACTAAAAGTGGATCATGCAACAAAACCATAATGTCACATGTTGTATGTACTATGGAGCCCCAGAGTGTTCTGCATCAAATAGTACAGTAATCCTGTTCACTAAACATTTATTACAAAATGTTTAATTCAACATTTTTCAAAAGTCTGTTTATATTTCTTATTTTTTCCTCAGTGACACCTTTACTATCACTTTTTAGTCCACAAGAAGTTCTTCCATGAACCTGTAGAGGGTGCTGGGAGGACAGGCTGCTGCTGTCTATACTGCCTATTCTGCTGGAGGATATAAAAAAAACACACATTCACCCTAAAATATAATGAGGAGGAAAGACTGAGAATAAATCAGCTTTGTGTATAGACAGATTGTGCAAGATTAAACAAGGAAATGATGAAAAAGAAAAGCCAAATGGTAACATAAAAGAGAAGTAGCGTGACTGCTCACAGGAGAGACAAGTCTAGGTCAAAGGTCAAAGTCCTTATTTGTCATATGCACAGTTAGGAATGAAATTCTCACTTTGCCGTCCACATGAATGCCACACAATACAAATGAAATATAGAGCAGATGAATAAGTAACACAAAATCTAAGGCACTTTAAGCAGCAGATGCAGTGTTATAATAAAAATATACAAGAATATAATAAGAGAATGTAAGTCTACTCAGTTAGTTAGTGAGTAGCCTTCCTCCATCAACAAACCGTATTCTGCCTCATGCATTATTTACTCCATCCACCTATTAGAGCTTTTATAGGGAGCCATCACTTTTACAGATAAACCAAGAGAGTAACAAAAGTGCCAGTGAAAAAAGTAGTAGTAAAAACAAACAGAAAACTAACAGCAGTATCTGACTGACTGTAGTGTTGGACTCAAGAGGACTGTTCTACCTGTGTGTGCTATTTATTGACCAGAGTTAAACATTTAATACTTTTTGTCCTCCAGGGCCAAGTGTGAAGGAGGTGTGACTGAGAAGTGTGAGTCACTGAAGGGAAGACTTTTTATCTGTTAAGGTTTACACAGACCCTGAAAAATCCTTGAAGGTTTTTCAGAAAGTGGTGTTGGATGGATGATGAAGTTGCTGATAGTGAAATCTACTGGGTATGTCCAAATTCTTTACATACTGAACAAAACTGGATTCCTCATTTGTGCAGCAGCACTTCTAAAATCACTGATTTCACCTTGATGCCATCTACAGAAGTCTCATTTGTGTGGTTTTAATATCATGTTCACCACAAAACAAACATTTCCATGTATATATGGCTGTGAACACTGTGAATGAATGTTTGGTTTTCACTGTACACAGATTATACAATTCAGCATCAGTGTTTCTACTTATCCGGCAGGCTTTATTTTAGAACATTTTACTTGTTTCAAGCTTTTTGTCTTTAATTAACTTAATACGATTATAACTTGTTACTGAGATTTTAATACTGGTTCTGAGTAACTTAATGCTAGAAATTAGAGTCACTAGAATTATAAAGCTGTTTGATCAACACTGCCAAGTGCAAAACTGTTGTGTATCAAATAAATGTACTAGTTTTTTTGTCCAGTTGTGCTAGTTCTGTGATATCTTTGGGTTCTTGAAATTAAATGTCTAAAAACAACTGGTTTTATCATTAGTGATTTAGATTTCCCAATTACTTTATTAATCGTTTATTTAAAGTTTTAATTTTTGTATTTATAGAGATTTGTTATTAAGTCATATACAGTACAACTGTCTCTGATTACAGTAACTGGAGGGAGAAACCATAATACAAAGGTACAAGTGGAGTAGAGCCAGACCCTTGCATACAGTATGGACTATGTATACAGCATACTGAGACTGGGATTTGGAGAACTATCTTTATTAGACTGTTTCACAACACCCCGAAGCTCTGAGGCAAGGAATGGGTGTAATGGGTTAAGCATGTGTAAATCTGACTATATTACAATATTATACACACACAGTGTGCAGCACTGAGATAGTATCTCACTCATCCAAACTACGTGGGAGTTACTGCAGTTAAAATACCTGTGTATGCACACGTGTGGGTGTGTACTGTTAGGGTGATTTTTAAGTTAGTTCTGGTATTTCAGTATCTTTCTCCTGCCTTTTTGGCGGCTGTATCTGCAGCATCATTTCCTTCTGCAATGCTGATGTCCCTTACACTTCATCACTGCCACAGCAGCAGGCAGATGCACTGCATTCACTAGCTTCTCAAGTTGTGCTCAGTGTTTTACAGGAGTATTGGCAGCAAAATAAAAGAACTTTCTTCACAGTACAGTATATGTGTGTGTGTGTGCATGAACACTAAAAAATGCTCACATAACCAAAGGAGGGATTATTTGAAGCAGTACTTAATAAAATTAGAAAAACAGAGAGTTCCTAAACAGATGTGAAAATGGGTAGTAGTAGTGTGACTTACTGGAAGCAGTCTCTTTGAGCGGAGACATTCTTCAGATACTGCTTCAGAGCCTCACAGAACTCGCCCAGCTTCTTCTGGGAAACCACCATCTCCTGACGAATCAGCAACAGGGACTGCAGAGAAGGAAAGGAATGTCAGTTTTGTACAGACCTTGATAGTGTAAGCTATCACATTTCTTACAAGCCAAGAGGTAAATACAGATATGTATAAAGTTCTGTACAAAACTATTTTAAGTGACTTTTTGATTGTATTTACTGGCTAACACTACTCAACACAAAGTACCTTTTGGTGCTTCTAATTTGCTTTGCTAGATTGATTTTGGAAATAATGTATGTAACAATTGCTTGGCCAATGCTCTCTGTGTCTAGTGTTGAGCTTCA